AACCTAAGATGATCCTAACCCTAAAGTTAATTCAATAAATACTATATATAATTTATCTCCGCTTTAGACGTCCCCTAAATAAGGAAATAGTTAAGGAAAGCGTCCAATCAAAATCGTTGATTATCATATTTGATTACTGAATTATCACATAAAGATCTACGTGCGTCAAATCCGCCCATGTTATTTTGCATAACACTGATGTCAATTTCAAACTTCAACAATTTGAATCTTGAAAATCTACATATGCTCTTTTTATGAACTCGATTTTTAATAATATTTAAGGAGTGCAAAAAATGGAAATAAAATTAAAATAAACTAAAAAGGAAGAAATAAACATAAGTAAATATTTGCATAAAAGAGAAGCCAAAAATTCCATAACAATATGAGATCTTTGCCTTAAAAAGTTTCTCCACAGGCAACTAGTATATATGGACCATTATCTGTATGCGAAAAAACCTTAATTTGTATATATTATCCTTCTGATAAACTTGACACTGGCATTGAAAATGAACCATTAAATGCTTCGTTAGCTTTAATGCCCGAAGGAAGATCAAATGATTTACGACGTAATAAACGACCATCATCTTCATCGAAAAAATCCACTGTAAGCGATCCATCATCCCCAGCATCACCAGTTACAGTCGCAAAAATATAAAAAGTTACGTTTTGTCCAAGAATGAGAGTGTCTGGATTCATGTTAACGTTGAAAACTCCATCAGGACCATCAACACAGACTCTAAATTCAGTCTTTCTTTTCGGGAATGGAATAGCATTGATGGTAAGAAGTGCAGCCAATAAAGTAAATACGAAAATTAAATTTTGATTCATTATTTCTTTATGTCGATAGGTTTTAACAGGATAATTGATATTTTAATTATTAAAGAACTGGCATCAAAGTTGTTCCCTTTTATAAGAATTTATCGAAATGACAGACATTAGCGTTGTTTCAAAAATCTTACCCTCAAAAAATAGTATATTTAGTTTGAAATAGCATCTATCGTATCCCAAATAACGAATCACATATTTTTTAAATTTCAGCAGTTTCATATTATCAAAATTTTCCAGAATGATCATAATTATTAAATGCTAATCCTGCAATCAGCGACATATTACGCAATTGAAGCGTATATGCTAGCTTTATACAAAAAGGAATTGTCCGAAATTTGTTAATACTACATAATAATCTAGCACTGGCAATCAAAATTAATTTAGAATAAAAAAAATTTTGCTAGATCAAATATTTCTTGCAATTCTAGACATATCTTTAATTTGTTCATCAATAATATCTTTATTTAATTTTGAAATCTCAACAATTATTACTATTGCTAATATGACAATATACTTGCAAATATCAT